ATTATATATATAAGTGCGTTCACACTGAGAAGTATGGAAAAACGCAGTGCACTATGAGTACCCGGATGGTGCACTCAAAAGGGTCAAGAAGTTGAGTGTGGAACTATGGACACTTCTCGGCCTCAATGGTCACAATCTTGGCTACGTAGCAGAAGGGGAGGGACCACTTTTCAAGCTGGAATGGCGGCCGAGGACTGTGCGACCGTGAACGTCGCTGCATTGTACAAATACATGTGTTTTTTGCACTAAGCACCACTATACTGTTGTCAGGTATAAGCCAGCAGTATGTTTATTGGGTTAATTTAGCAGTCTGTAATGATTTGGTACCGCGAACGATAACGCAAATGCTAGTTTGCTAACTAGCTAATTTGCGGTCGTCATTTCCGGTAAGTGCACAATGGCCGTGTTTGCTTTGAGACAACACTACCCTGTCGAAATTTGCGCACTATGCCAATAAGTACATAGTGCACATAGTATACTACATAGAAGTGTACTAACGGAAGTATGTGATTTTTGACACAGCTTTAGTTTCCTATTATTTTTTGAGTCACTCAAATGCGCCACCTGACCGAGCATCTCGAGAATCTTTAATTAAAGGCAGGTGTGCTGAAGTGAGTGGAGCGTGAAAGATGTCACGGGGTTACACACGTAACCGCCATGTTTTTGGATGATCTTAGTTTGTTTAAGTTGTTTAATACCCCATTGATTAGAACTTTGTTTTTATAAACGCTTGTTTATTCGGGAATGTTTGTTTGGGGATTTTGTTTTCATTTTTGAGCGCGACAGTCAAGACAGTCTGTTAGCGTCGTATTGCAGTTCTCCACACACCCTGCAGATCAGTCAACTCTAAACCAACCAAAATATCTGGATCATCAAACAGTGGGTAAAATTAAAGCAAAGACAGTGAGTTGATCATATCTCCTGTTATGGGCGGCTATTTTGAACTTATCTGGAGGCCACAGTAAGTCTCGTCAGATCAAAAGAATCAAAAAGGTGTTACTGCAGCTGCTGATATTAATACAGCACTTAAAATAACATCAAAACTTTCTCTTAACTAACCCTTTAATTGTATACAGATTTAAATGGACATGCCAATAACTGACCACAGTCTCCTCCAGTCCCTTCAGATCCTGTTTGGCCTGCTCCCGTCTGTCCTGCATCACCCTGCACAGCATTAAATAGATGTTACTTAATGCACGTACTATAATGAGAAACAATGCAGACTAACTATACATAGAGGCATTACGTGAGCTCCTGCAGCTGGCGGCTCTTCTCCTGGTCAGCAGCCTTGAGCTTCTCATGCTCCACCCTCAGCCTCTCCTGCTCCAGCATGATCTTCTGGTTCAGACTGCACAGATGTGGGTAACAGTATCAGTACGGAGCTACTGGGCACATTCAAAGAGAGAGGTGTGTGGTGATGATCTTACTCCTGCAGCTCTGTCATGAGTTTCTCCTTCTGGTCCAGCTCGTCTCTCAGGCTGCTGATCTGTTTCTGATGGGTCTCCCTGTGAAACTGGATCTGCTTCTCCACAGCTTCCTGAACACACACAAACACACAGCTGAAGTCAGTTTCTAGTTGGAGAGCACACATGTAAGAGACAGTTTAGTGATACAGCACCTTGACTTCATTGGCAGACTGGATCTCACTGTCCTTCTCCATGGTGTTGACTTTTTCTGGGTGGAGAAAAACTAATCAGGTATCACTATCATTCTGCAATTCACCTCATCAGTGGCTATTTTCATTTTAAACATATTGCAAAGCAAAACTAGAAAAGTGCACTCAGGGCAGTGAGTGCAGGTCTCCACTGGGTGTATCTGTAGCTATGTGGGGGAACAGTTAGTGCAGGGCAGTGTATGGGAGTAGTTGAATGAAGGGGAGACAATCTGCAGATTAGATTGTCAGTTGCAGGAATGGCCGACATAAAGGAAGGTGAAATATCTGAGTCAACAGATGGTGAAGCACCTACTGCACTACTAATACAACTGCCAGATACAACTAGCAGATATCGGCAAGGTTTTGAATAAAGTTTTGTTGTATAGTGTAATTTCTCTTATGAATATGTATGCAACATTTTTAATTGAATAATCTAAGTGTTTTGATATGATATAGCATAGCATAACATAGCATTGTATAGTATATTATAGTGTAGTATATCTTAGCTTAGCTTATCTGAGCTTAGTTTAGTACAGTATAGCTTAGCTTAGCTTAGCTTAGCTTAGTATGGTATTGCTTAGTATAGCATAGCATAGCAAAATGTAACATAGCATAGCATAGCATAGTATAGTTTAATACAGCATTGCATGGTGTAACACAGCATAGTATTGTATATTATAGTGTAGTATAATATAGTATAACATAGCATAGTGTGGAATAATAAGGCATAGCATAGCATAGTAAAGTGTAGCATAACATAGCATAGTGTAGTATAACATAACATAGCATAGTGTAGTATCGTATAGCATAGCATAGCTTAGCATAGCATAGCATAGCATAGTATAGTTTAGTACAGCATTGCATAGTGTAATATTGTATAGTATTGTATAGTGTAGTATAGTATAGTATTGTATAACACAGCATAGTGTAGAATAGTACGGCATAGCATAGCATAGCATTCATAGTAAAGTGCAGCATAACATAGCATAGTGTAGTATAGTATAGCATAGTATAGCATAGCATAACATAAGCTAGCATAGCACAGCATTGCATTGCATAGTGTAGCATAGTCTAGTCTAGTATAGTATAGTCTAGTATAGTATAGCATAGCATAGGATAGTATAGTATAGCATAGCATGGTGTAGCTTAGTATAATATAGCATAGCATAGTGTAGCTTAGTACAGTATAGCATAGCATGGTGTAGCTTAGTATAGTATAGCATAGCATAGTGTAGCTTAGTATAGTATAGCATAGCATAGTGTAGCTTAGTATAGTATAGCATAGCGTAGCGTAGCATAGTCTAGTATAGTATAGTGTAGCATAGCGTAGCGTAGCATAGTCTAGTATAGCATAGCATAGTATAGTATAGCATAGTGTAGCTTAGCATAGCATAGTATAGTAGAGCATAGCATAGTGTAGCTTAGTATAGTATAGCATAGCATAGTGTAGCTTAGTATAGTATAGCATAGCGTAGCGTAGCATAGTCTAGTCTAGTATAGCATAGCATAGTGTAGCTTAGTATAGCATAGCATAGTATAGGATAGCTTAGCATAGCATAGTGAAGTATAGTATAGTATAGCATAGCATAGTCTAGTATAGTATAGTATAGCATAGCATAGCATAGTCTAGTATAGTATAGCATAGCATAGCATAGCATAGTATAGGCTAGGTAAGGCTTTTTTTTAGCCTAGCTGATTGTTGGAAGTGTCTCCAGCTATGTGATTTTGCGCAAAGTTAATAGATTTATCAAAAATTGTGAATTACAGCAACCACAAGAAGTCCTTGAGCATACAATCATAATTGTACACAAAAAATATTATATTAGGCTTACTGGTCCAGTAGTATGAGAGATTAGCTGTGAACAGAGAAATACACACTTGCAGACACATGACCGAGTGCATGATCCCCTTCAGGCTTACACCTGGTGTAGATAAATATGAATAATGAAAGGGGCTTGTTTTGAAAACCGTAGTGCACCCTGGGAATTTTTTGGGCTCAAGCCACTGAGTTCAGCACAAAAAAATGTTTCAACATAGTATCACAACTTATAATGCCCTGTCTAGAAGTGATAATGCTCACCTTGGGCTTTGATCCTGACGATTTCCTCATTGAGAGAGTCAACAGTTTCCTCCAGCTGTCTCTTCTTGTGCTCCACATTCTGAAGGCTTTCTGTCAGGGACTTGATTTTAGCTTCATGCTGGACACCAACAGGAAAATGAAAAAGACATTAAAAAACCATTATAAACCGTCACGTGTGATTAAAACTCACACGAACGCCAAAGCAGCTCTTTTTAAACCCACAACAAAGACATGCATAGATATGCAAAAACCCATCAACTTCTTAAGCTGCTGTTTTCCCGTCACTATGGTGACAGTATCCATGATGGCAGAGGCAGCGGTGGTAAGCAGCGGTTACCTGGGAGACGCGGAGCTGGCAGGCAACCAGCTCAATCTCTGTCTGCTCCATCTTCTGGGTGCTCTCGGCCTGGGAGCTCTCCAGCTGTTTGCTGCGCTTCACCATCGTCTTCACCTCTGACTTCATCTTACTGATGTAGAGACGGGCCACAGTAAACTCTTCATCGATGAGACCACTGCTCTCTTGTTGCTGAGAGGTCAGAAAATAGACAATAGGCCTCAGAAGATGTACTTTATGTTTTGTTTCTGTCATTTAGTCTCATAAGCAACAGTAAATACCATTTTCTTTTTGCATATTTCTATCAATTATTAAACAACTTGAATCACCGCCTGGTGGTAGTCTGGATTTTTGTCATAATCAGCACATGAATTCTTCATTTACAGCCAAGTACAGTGCCCTTGACCTTTGACCACGAAATTCTAATCAGTTCATTTTAAAGTCCAGGTGAATTCATTCATTCATGGAGCCTATTCCAGCTGACATTAGGCAACAAGGTGGGATACACCCTGAACAGGTCACCAGACTATCCCCACCCTAGGTTCGAACCAGGAACCCCCTTGCTGTTAGACGACAATGCTTAAATTTGAAGAAATTCTCTTGAGGTGTATCGTGGTTATCGAGGTATAGTGTTTACGAGAATGCAACAAGGTCACAAGGTCACAGTGACCCTGACCTGTGACCACCAAAATCAAATCACTTCATCATTGAGTCCAAGTGAACGTTTGAGCCTAATTTGAAAAAAATCCCTCAAGGTGTTCTTGAGATACTGCATTCACAAGACTAAGACAGACGAGGTCACAGTAACTTTAATCTTTGACCTATGTCCACAAAAATCTAATCAGTTTATTTTTGAGTGTGAGTGGATGTTGGTGCCAAATATGTAGAAATTCCCTAGAGGCGCTCTCAAGATATCGCATTCACAAGAATGGGACGGATGGATGGATAAATGGACAACCCAAAAACACAGGCGTAGAGGCATAAAAACCAGTGACTAACCATTACAGCTATGTCACAATGACCCTGACCTTTGACAACCAAATTCTAATCAGTTCCGCAGAACCAGAAACAAAACAAGTCTCGCATTCTTCTCCTTCTACATTTTCTGGCGGTTGGCAACCAGCTTGTAAATGCATTACAGCCTTCCCGACCCCGAGTGTGGATATCACCATGGAGAGAGGTGCACTACGTCAGACTTAATTAAAACATAACTGTTTCCATCCCCCGTTTTGCAAATCAACATTTTTTCGAATCAACCAAAACCCGGCTAAAGCGAGCGTATTTTATTTTGTGCGAATCAGGGGATTTTAATTCGAATTTTGGCGTTTCCATCATAATTTTCCAATGTGATACTTCTAGATGCGCATCTAAACAAGCTGATGGAAACATGGCTAGTGACCTCGATCTTTGACCTTTGACCACAAAAATCGATTGAGTTCATTGTTGAGTGTGAGTGGACATTCGTGCCGAACTTGAAGGAATTCCCTTCAGGACTTCTCAAGATATCACATTCACAAGAATGGGACGGATGGATGGATGAACGGACAACCCAAAAACATAACGCCTCCAACAACGCTTAACGTTAAAACCACTGACTAACCACTGAAACTAAATACACAGAAAGCCCCATCTACAGAGACCGAATCGACAGGAAATTAAAAGGAATAGACATCAGAGTAGTGACAAATAGGTCTGCAACTTAGTTGCTTTTCAATGCTGATTAATCTGAAGATACTTTTTTCAATTATTGATAAATTGTTTGGTCTGTAAGCTGTGAGAAAACACTTACAATGCCCTGGATGATATCTTTAAATCGTTTGTTTTGTTTGACCCAAAGATTTTTAAACGACACTGAAACAGAGCAAAGCAGCAAATCCTCACACTGGAGAAAATGGATCCATCTGAAGAGATGGACTAACTCATTAACTGACTTTTAGCGCCCATGACAACACAGTTTGGCCGACAGGTGATCTCTGACATGAGCAGTGCACGAAATCAAAACATAAGAGACATTAAAGGACTGCCATCCTAATGGGCAGAGTGTAGCTCCAGCGTAGGGTAAGGTTAAATTCCCACTTGGAGCTTCAGCACTGTAAGGCAATTTGCAAACTAGCGGTATTGTATGTTTCTACAAGAGACACTTGACCTAACCCTTCTGGTGAGGCGTGCAGTTTAAAATAGATTCTGCTGAAAACCCCACAGCTGAGAATACACTAGAAACCTGTGCAAAATGAAACTCTAGTCAAATTGTTGTTGAACACAACAAACAAGTGTCAGTGTACGCACTTGTACTTAAAGTGTTTTTATAACAACACTCTACAGCAGATGGGTTTACTATCGGATAAAAGGGTACACTTACTCTATAGCTGCATGATCATACTTCATATCTTTGTCAACTAAATCTGTCTGTAATATCATAAATATATTTGGGTACAAACCAAAAGCCAGAATAAATGTTGGTATTGTACGTTTCTGAAAACCCCAGATATGTAACATTTGTACGTTATTATGTGGCAGATACATTGAAATACAGAAACCACAGCTTTTGATTTACTGGTCCATCGACATCCCAACCCTCACCTATGGTCATGAGCTCTGGGTAGTGACTGATAGAATAAGATCGTGGATACAAGTGAAATGAGTTTCCTCTGTGGGGTGTCTGGGCTCAGCCTTAGAGATAGGGTGAGGAGCTCAGACATACGGAGGGAGCTCAGAGTAGAGCTGCTGCTCCTTCGTGTTGAAAGGAGTCAGTTGAGGTGGTTTGGGCATCTGATCAGAATCCTCTTGGGTACCTCCCCTTAAAGGTGTCCCGGGCACGTCCCACTGGTAGGAGGCCCCGGGGCAGACCCAGAACACACTGGAGGGATTACATATCTCATCTGGCCTGGGAACACCTTGGGATCCCCCAGGAGGAGCTGGAAAGTGTTACTGGGGAGAGGGACGTCTGGGGTGCTTTGCTCGGCCTGCTCCCCCTGCGACCCAGCCTCGGGTACGTGGATGAAAATGGATGGATGGATGTGGCTATGTTTCGGCACAAATAGCTTGGTTATGGTTCGGAAAAGATTACGTTTTGGCTTTAAATACCAGCTTTGAGGTTGAACGATGCTGCGCTTTAGCCAATCACAATGGAGGGGGCGGGGCCGACCGCTCCACCCAAAGCGTCGTCTCGTCAACGTGAAAAACATGGACAACAGCACAACTTACAAGCGTTGTGCAACCACCAGCACACCTTCCATTCCTTACAACAGGAAAAAAAGGGCATTAGCGGCAATGTTTTTACTGCCGTTTGATTCGAGTTGCAGGTAGGAGTGTAACACTGGGGGCACCGCCGGAAGTGAAGGGGGTGAGTGATCCCCGAGGCCCCTGCACTTCCGTTAGTCAAAAAACTACCAGGCAGTGCCTCCAGAGGTAAAGGAAGAAAAACATTTTTTTTTTTTTAACTGATGGATTTCCAGATTGCTGACAACAAAATAATGAATCATCGTGCTGAAATCAATTCATCGATCAGTCTCTTGATAGAAATTTCATTGGTAACTATTGTGTCATTCCTGGTAAAAATTCAGCATTTAAACGTGAGGATTTGCTGCTTAAAACTGAATCATTTTTGGTCTGACAAAAACTTTAACAAAAGGCACTGATGGTTAATAAGATGTGCCAGTTTTCTGGAATTTCTGACATCTTGTATGCTGCGTAAATGAATGCACTAAATGACAATAGAAATAAATGTTTGCTGCAGCTCTACATGAATCCATCCTTAATTCGAGCAAGTGTTGCCTGGATACTTGGTGCTGATGAATGGATTGATAATGAGCAGAGCAGAGGGCGTACAATTTCACATTGGAGGAGGAACACAGGCTGCGAAATCAGCACGTCATTTTTACTCCGCCAACAAGTCAAAGTATTCTTAGTTTCTAGCACATTTCTGAATTTAACACAGTGTGTCATCACCACGGCTGGTCACCTTAATGTCGTTGCTTCCCACGGCGATGCCTATCTCAGCCAGGTCTTTGAGTAATGATGACATCATCTCAGTGACCCTCTTCTTCTGGTGGTTGGTCATCTCCTTCAGCTTCTGGAGTTCAGAGTCGATGGAGGCCAAGGAGCTCTGGTGGTGGATGAGAACATCAGTAAATACTCACCTTACGAGGTGATCGCTAGTGATGGCCAAATGAAGCCTCATGAAGCATTTTCTTTATTTTCTGAGCCCACTAGATGGCGCTCATGGTTTAAAGAGAGATGCTCAAAGAATGCCAATTCAGTGTGCTTTCAACCTTTTGTTGAACAAAAAGCGCCATCTAGTGGGCTCAGGAAATAAAGAAAATGCTTCATGAGGCTTCATTTGGCCATCACTAGTGATCGCATGTAATCAGTGTTCTCCAATGGATTCAGATCAGATTAACAAAAGTACCGATTTCTCTTCCAGCTCTTCACTGAGCGCTTCAAACTCTAGCGCTTTGTCCTCAACTTCCTGACTCTTCTGGTCGTAGTTGACAGCCAGTTCCTCCAGAGCCTGCAGCACCTCCTTCACCTCCTCCTTGGAGGCTTCGTTCTCCGCCAGCAGCCGGTTCAGTTCTGTCTGCAGGGTGTCGTGATCGCGGCTGGAGGAGGCTAGGAGCTACAGGTGGGCACAGGAAGTGAAGAGTACACAGTGATGCTCAGCTGAGGAAGGGCAGGGGGTGGAAAGGGAGTAAAAGTCATAACAAAATCTACAAATTACATTTCTGTACAACTAAAAAAACCTCATGTGTTTAATCTGTAAGACTCCACTGTGTCTTTCAGGGTGAGTTACAGTCTGACCTCTCCTGCAGGGCTACTAATGGTCTGCTATCAGCTGTCAGACTGGGTTTGTGCTAACATGAACGGCTGGAGGGCTGAGATGCAGTCTGGAGGGGAAGGGACGGGAGAGGAAGGGGGGAGTTGTGTCACCTCCTCCTGGTCCAACATCTGTTGCTTGAGCTCCTCTATAGACTGAGACAGCTGGTTGATCTCATCGTCCTGACAAAGGGTAAGGATGGTGGAGAGGAGAGAGGAAAAAGGAAATATAACACATCACTCAGTGATTTCCAATAGAACCACAGGCAACACTGAACAGCAGCCAATTACACCATCTGCTGACCAATAGAAATATTGCAGGCCACAAGGACTAAATTCAGTTGGGCAACTTTTATATAAATAACTTAAAACTAAACTTAAACTAAATAAAGTATGTCCCTCCTCCTCCTTGTAGTGCCTCTAATGACATTTGTAAGAATCCACCGCACAAAATCAGAGCCAAAGAGTTTCTAATACAGCTGTTAATTGTGCCGATAACTGCTCGCAGACTGCTGTCAAACTGTTAAACTAAGCACAGAAATAAAATATAAATCAAGATTCTGTTACTGCATTGCCTGTTTCTCTCATCAAATGTTTTCAGAAACATATTTTAGTGCACTGTTTAGCTGTAAAACGAGTATCAGAATATTGATTCATGTTTGATCAGCGCTGCCTAGTTTGACAGTTTGACTGCAGTTCACAAACAGTGATTGACAGCGGCATCAGAGAGTCCTCAGCTCTGATTGGTTGTTGCTCACCATGCCACAGTCTGATTCTAGGAAATGCCATTAGAGGCAGCAGGAAGAAGAGGAGGGACATGGTTTTTTTCAGAAAAAAATCTGTCTCATGTAGGTCTTTCAGAACATAGTGACAGTTTCAGTACATATGACACAAAGTTATTTTCATAAAAGATAAAAACTGTATCTGTAAGTCCAAGTGAAGCCATGAATCACTGATATCAAAGTCAAAGTTGCAGTTTTTTTAATCTATCAGCAAGACCAAAGTCATCAGATTAATGACTCAAGTCCACACTTATGATTTGATGTCTTTTAAAGGGACAGTTCACCCAAAATCAGAATCCTGTAGTGCTATTTATCAGTCTAGATCATGGGTGTTAAACATACAATCCATGGACCAGAACCAGACCGTCAAAGGGTCCAATTTGGCCCACTAGATGACTAGGCTAGTAGGTACAACGTTTTAGGAGCAGTAAATAGCTGCTTCATGTAAAATGCTAGTTCAGATTCTTTCCCAACCTGACCAGAACATAGTTCAGTTCAACAATCAGCAGCTTCAGTAGAAAATCGTAAGTGCTATATCGTAGGCAACTGGACTTGCTTGCATTTCTAGAAGACGTTTCGCCTCTCACCCAAGAAGCTTCTTGAGTTCTAAATGACTGGTACGAAGTTGCAGGCAGTTCAGAGTACAGAGTCGTTAAGGTCACAATGTGAGTCGTTGACCCACCTGGCCACCATGTGAGTCGTTAGGGTCAGGTGGGACCAGGGGTGAATGGGTGTGAAGTCGTCATGGTGGCCAGGTGGGTCAACAACTCACATTGTGACCTTAACGACTCTGAAACTAAGAGCTCACGTGACCCCTACGACTCTGCAAGGGTTCCCACCCACACAGGGTTTATAGCCTGCAACTTAGTACCAGTCATTTAGAACTGAAAAAGCTTCTTGGATGAGAGGCGAAACGTCTTCAAGAAACGCAAGCAAGTCCAGATGCCTACGATATAGTACTTTCAATTACCATGACCTAGATGACTGAGAATCTTCACCTACCTTCAGTACAAAAGAATCTCTATCCAAATTCTGTCTTAAAACAATATTGGTGGAACCCTATGGCTAAAAAATTGAAATGTATTGATGAAAAGACATATTATTGAAACCCCTTATTATTCTGAAGACATCTCAGGTTGTTCGTATGTTTTATAAAAGGACGGCTATTGCAGAATGTACTTATACTTGTTTACATGGAAAGAAAGGGAAACAATTGGAGCTGTTATTATTTATAGGTTAGTTTGCCATGATTTTATTGGTCCAGCCCAGTTGAGATCAAATTCCGTTGTTTGTGGCTCTCAAACTACAATGAGTTTGACGCCCCTGATCCAGAAGGAGGCGTGCATCTACTCATGAGCGAGAGGCTCGTGCTCATGAGCGTAGATGCAAACATTAATGCCGTCCTCAGCTGAGCTGTAACATTAGCTAGCTAGCAGTAGATGCACACTTCCTTCTGCTCGGTGATACACTTGGCAGTAGTGATGGCCAAATGAAGCCTCATGAAGCATTTTCTTTATTTCCTGAGCCCACTAGATGGCGCTTTTTGTTCAACAAAAGGTTGAAAGCTTCACTGAATTGCCATTCTTTGAGTCTCTCTCTTTAAACCATGAGCGCCATCTAGTGGGCTCAGAAAATAAAGAAAATGCTTCATGAGGCTTCATTTGGCCATCACTACTTGGCAGGTGTAATATGCATTTTTAATTGAGGGGGGGACTGTCCCTTTAAGTCCATGTGGGCTTGGCTTTTGCATGTCCACGACACCAACTCATATATCTAATAAAAAAGTAAATATAATACAGTAAAATGATTTATATCATTGTTACTAAACAATATTAGCATCCTGTTGAAAGGGATGTGCAGTAAAGTGCATTAGTAATCCATTAATACCATTAACATCCCACTGAGAACCATTTGTTTTGCAATGCACCCTTATATATATTTATGTAAAGTCGGAGTTCACTTGAGAAATCAGCACATACACAGTGGATGGCTGTATGTGATGCATTATCATACATGACATTGATGTATCGTGTGATTCAAAAACACTCCCTCTCACATTGTCAGGTGGTCTCAGTGTGATTAGTTGTTACCTCCTGAGATCAATAACATTTTTCTGACTTGATCGATGAAACCACACTCCAGGCGCAAACACTGCAGCGCGTCAATTCACCGCTACAAGCATGCTCAGTGTGTGCACCAAAGAGTTTACGAAAGTGGGAACACTTCCTGCAACTCTCTCCTCACCTTGTCATCCATCTCTTTGTAAAGCTTGGCCATTTCTGCTCCGTACTTCTCTTTCTCTGCCTCAGTGAGTTGGACCCCGGGGAGGGCGCTGAGGGTCGGTGTGGGCGCCGTCTTATCATTGTTGAGCGTGCTGTCCAGAGCCAGGACCTCTGCTGTGGCCTTTTCTTTATCAAACTGATCCTCCACTGGCACAGTCTCTCCTGCAGGGGGCAGAAGAGAACAGCTATCAGTTCAAAGCTCTTCATCCTCTGTCAGTCAATCAAACTGTTGTGTTAAGAGGGATACCTGTGACAACTCTGGATGTGTCATGTCTTTAGATTAGTGTAAGGCAGACACAATCACACACATTTCAGAAGAGAACAACAAACGGACATTGCTCATATGAGAACAAAGGATTCTTTCATTAGGAGTGTCCTTTAAAGCTCAAAATAGACCAATGTGTGATTCAGCTATAAATAAATGTGACAAGGATACTTTGGAGCATGACTGAGTGATAAAACTTTTCCTCTCATCCAAACCTATATAAACCAAAGTTAAAACCATCTTTCATTTAGCATACATGCTATGAACACGTAGGACAAATTGTAATTGCAGCACATGTAGCAGATAAAAACGTAAGATGTTATTAGCAGTCCTCACCGCTCCTCCAGCGGTTGAGCTCGGCCTCCAGCCAGGTGACGGTGCTTCTCAGCGTCTTGTTCTTCTCCTTCTCTTTCTCCCACTTCTTCTTCCACTGCTCTGCTGTCAGCTCCACGTTCAGGGACACTTGGTTCTTGATGGTCTTTGCCCTGGTGAGACAGGAAGGTAATATCACCAGCCCAGACACTGCAGAGCACACTGATAGGCCGCACTTTCTCAGGCTCTGTTTTCGCTAACTGGCTCATTCAGATCAGTGAGAGACGTCGCAGGTAAGATATCCGACCCCTGTGGCCCTCAAATATGAAAATGTAAATCAGCTCTTATGAGATGTGAGCAAGCTATTCCAGTAAGGTGTTAAAAGAATGTTGATACCACTCTCATGTCTGGGTGCTAAATACAAAGCTACAGCCAGCAGGCTGTTAGCTTAGCTTAGCAAAATAAGACTGGAAGCTGGGAGAAACAGCACGCCTGGCTAGTTTTTGTAAAGCACAGTGGTTCATCCTCCTCTGTGAAGGCACTGTGACCAATCACTGGGACTCACTGGTGCAGCAACAGGAACACGATCCCTCACTGGCTTCCCACCTGAACAGGCCAATTGTGAGAACATTTGCAGTGGTGGGCAAGTTTTTTCTGGCCTTTGTTTGTAGCCTGATAATTTCAGGAAATGCTACTGTTACGAAAACTTTAAATTCTACCTTCAACATTTTGCAGAGCTGCTACAATTCTTATCGTGTATTTGTCACGATAGCAATAAAAATATAATGTCGGACATGCATTATAATAACACTTGTACTTTACAGTGTGTGGAATCATTTTTCAGTGTCATCCCTGGCTCGGCAAAACACAAACGTGCTGTTGGATACGGCGGATTCTTTACTAGTTTTGCCAAGAAGTAGCATTGAACCACTACTATACACTGGATCGGCCTCATGTTACCTTACATGAAAATGATCCCCATGACCCCCATGCAGTGTAGTTCACAGATGTTATTGGTACCCGGTATGCGTGTGTGTGTGTACCTCTGTCCAAACAGCAGTGTGGACCTGGTCTCAGCGTCATTGAAAGCAGAGGGTGAGCAGCAGATGACCATGGTGGTGCGACAGTTCCCTCCCAGGGAGTCCTGCAGGATCCTGGTCATCTTACTGTCTCTGTACGGCACGTAGCTCTGACAGAGGACACAAGTTAAATTCCACAGGGAACACACAGAGTTCCTACAGAGATCATTTATTAAAGGCCGAGAATATCTTCATGCTTATGCTTAGGTATACTGTAGGGGTGGAGGTAAAATCAATTAGATGTATCACAGTTTTCTTTTGAAAGATTATGTCTCAATCCAGAAAAGTTAATCGTAAAAAAAAAACAACCTAATTTTCGGTACTGCTAAGCGCTGCTAGCATCCTCGCCACTGTCACCAGATTCAGGCTGGAAAAAATGCAGATATTTTAGCTTGGTTTTTAGACACTTGGGGCAGTCAACGAATGTCCATCTTTGTTTTTTGAGAACTTATTTATTGCACAGAACATAAAGAGTTGTCATCAATGAGTAACCTTCACTTCTCTCGTCTCTCAGGTTCCCCCCCTCAAGCTAGAGTGAAAAAAATTCAAGTATAGAAATCCAAAAGTTTGATGCATCAAGATGTAGAGATAATCGAGTCATACTTGCATCATTGCCCTCTGAATAGGAATCGAATCGTGAGGTGCCAAGAGATTCCCACCCCTAGTATTCTGTGTTTGTCAGAGTATACTAGGGGTGTCATTATGTCAAAATTTCCAAAACATATGCAAGAACATCAGGTGATGGCCAAATGAAACATTTCAAAATACTTTTAGACACTATTTAAATCATTCTCTTCTCTATGAATCCTAATAATAAACTCTCTCCCTCTTAATTAGTGACAGTCATGATGGGAGTACAGGTGCAATCCCTCTGAAAACCAAACGTCATCCAGGAAGTGCCGACTGCCTCACCGAGCCCTCTGCCAGAGCTGAAATGACATTTCCCAGCGAAGACAGGGACTTGTTGATCATCTTGGCTTCATCCAGCACTGTGCCCTCTGCTCCCGTTTTACCCACCTGTCAAACAAACACACACAGAAGAGTTCTTATAATGGCAGGGAGCTGGAGCCTCCTGCAAGAGGCTGGAACTACACTGTATCATCAAAAACACTGGTGTTATTTGACAGTGTTACTCTGCAGTCTACATGTGTGGTCACAATGTGATCATGAGTCTCCAAACAGTCAGAAAGTACGATAACAAAGATGGCATGGAAGAGTGTTGTTCACTGAGTAGCAAGGAGATACAACAGATTATTAAAAGACGGTTGACAGAGCATGTTCATGGATTTACGTGAGCTTAGTGCTATCTTCAGCTTGTTAACATGTCATAGTGATGGACAGATTACTGTAGTGTCCCCTGCTGAAAGGAAGCAGCAGCAGCAGTGTGTCATTAAAGTTTCATTATATAAATCCAGTCAATACTGGCGAGCAAACTGATCCTCCAGGTACAGTAGTGATGGCCAAATGAAGCCTCATGAAGCATTTTCTTTATTTTCTGAGCCCACTAGATGGCGCTCATGGTTTAAAGAGAGAGGCTCAAAGAATGCCAATTCAGTGACGCTTTCAACCTTTTGTTGAACAAAAAGCGCCATCTAGTGGGCTCAGAAAATAAAGAAAATGCTTCATGAGGCTTCATTGGGCCATCACTACCTCCAGGAGCAACAGAAACAAGAGTAAAAGGCCTGTCCACATCTAGAAAGTCAACTTTAAAACAAGAAATGTCAATGTCTGTACAAGTACACTTTAACCATGTTACTGTTTAAAGGTTTAAAAGCAAATGCTTTCTGAAACTGTAAGAGCAACGGAGGCAAAGACAAGGAGACACAGAGGTGCAGGATGGAGACATACTTTCTCACTCCCGGCCAGATCAACCAGGTACAGCTTGCCGGTGAGTTTCTGTCCAGTCTGAGAGTTTTCCTGCTTGATGTTGATGAGGAAGATGCTGTGACTCCTGGAACTGTGCTCATTCATGTCTGACACACAGATGTGCACAGACACCAACAAACACACACACAGAAACACAATTAGCATCGTGCTAACTATACGCTAAACACACTGACACATGGTTGTTAATGTTCTACTTAATAAAACTGTCCGAGCCACATTAATTTGCAGTCTGATTTTTGAACTTCAAAAATCCCCAGGTAATCGAATCATTTCTAAAATCATATCTTCTTACAACATGAGAAGAATCCTGCCATCACAGCAAGACTGTTTGAAGATGTTTTTAATAGAATCAAGAATTTTCTAGAAATGAGTGTCTGCAGATAGAAAAGAAACAACAAGCTGGGTCACTGCACTCGGATCAATATTAAATATTGAATATTCCTTCCTCACAGTGTGGGTTTGCTTTTTAACTAAATCAAATATTGAAGACTGAATTAAAAATTACATGATGATAATTTTTGCAGCGTAAAAACGGATATTATCACGAAGCATCTGTGGTGCTAATGACTCTTCAAAATGATACAGATGTGGATGCACTGGTGTCACATGCAGTATGTTGAGAGCTCAGTGTGAACTGCCGGGGGGCGGAGAATTCCCCTTTCTGTGCTTATTCTTTTTTTTAAATCTCTGGTGGGAATACATGTTAGTTATCCCTGCTTCTGGACAGACTAAACATATGAAATGCATCTCATATTCCCACCAGTACATGGTGCAAGTTGATAAGCAATGCAAGCTAGTTTGAGAAGACATGGGAAATGTAGGATTCACTGTTTTTGGAGCTTTAAAATCAGGATGTCTGGACCTCTGCTGCCTCAGTTGTGACTTTGCTTTTTTAAAATCTGTCTCTCAAAAGACTAACGCCTTTATGGAGGTGAAATGCACAGGCTTAATGTGCAGTGTGTAGGGTAATTAACCTATTTGAGAGCATTTGAGTCACTGATTTCCTGGTTTCAAAGAGCCAATATTGCTCAACATCTGGATTTAAACTGAATATGGGCAGAGAAAAGACACTGTCTAGTGCTCTCACAAATTATTTACTGGTGTGGGAACACATAATTCATGAAAATTATTGATACTAGTCCATACCCATTGGTAGCTTTGTCACCTTCTACCTATGCCAATCCTCAATGCCTATGTGCAGTTTCACATAGATTGACCACGTCAGTGAGTAGAAAAACGTGGGACAGACAGAATGACTGACTGACAGAATTACACACTGACAGTTTCCGTGATTATGTACAGCATACCATACCATGACTTAGTCATACCGAAAATTAGAAAACAACAACAACACTGGTCCACAGGGGGAGCCACAGCGATCGGTCGCATTTTAGCCATTTTTAAGCATTTTTCTGTTGTTATAGCGCCACCCAGTTGCCAATTAGAGTTAAATTTCTCCAGTCACCTTGAGGCGTCCTGTTCTACATATCTACCAAGTTTAGTAAAAATCCATATGGCGGTTAGGCCTAGATAAGAAATGAGCTCTCTAGCGCCCCCATTTTGTTTGATGGGGTCAATAATGGA